GTTCAGCGGGCTGCCGTGTTACGTGGGAGAACCTCGGCGGGCTGTCGGGCTCCGAGCCTGGTCCTCGGCGGGCTGGCGCGTCAGACACTGGCTGACTCCGTGTTAGAGACCGGTGACTTCGGCGGTGACAAGCTCGGCGGGCTGGAATTCGCAGGTTTTTCGGGGCAGAAAACGGAATTCGGAGCACGGCGAATGCCTGGAGCCGGTTTTCGGCGGAAAACGAGCGAACTTGGAGGCTCGGGCACCACTTTCAACGTCTGACACAAAAAAAACGAACTTTTCGGAGTTCGCCGTTTTCAGCGCTTTTTGCACCAAAAACGGAGTGGTGACAAAGACCGGTGACATCGGAAAAACGTTCAGCTGGTTGAAGAATTTGGCTGTTTTGCAGGGTTTGGGGACCCAAATCCGAAAATTAATTAGGGTGTATAAGCCTTCTTTCCTTACTACTGCTGTCGGGCTCCGAGCCAGGTCCTCGGCGGGCTGCCGGGCCGCAAAAAACCCTGCGGAGAAGAAGCTTGGAAACTGGGGCTGAACTCGCCTGTAAGCCTGCTACAAGGCCTGTGCTCGCACTGACCCGCCGCACAGAAATGCTGCCTTGCAGCCCCTGAAGCAGCTGCAGAACCAATGCAAGAAGAGACCCTGAGAGGTCCCTGAAAATATGATACTATAACCTTCCTTCCTTACTACTGAAGCTTAGCAATTTCTGCTTATACAAGGCAACCGGAAACCCCATAGTTTCCTGTTCATCTACGGCGGCTTGGCACTGGCATTGAAGTCTAATTGCTTTAACTCTCAACTCGGATTAACATGAAGAGGCTTGGCACTTAGGGTGCGCCACCCGGCCGCGCCACCCGGCATTGGAGCCAGCCTGCCAAGAGTAGTAAGGAAAGGCTGCTTATACACCCCTAATTATTTGTGATTTTTGGGCCAAAAACCCTGCAAATTTTCCAACCAGCTGAACTTGTCACCAGCAATGTCACCGCTTCGTCGCCGCTCCGTTTTTGGTGCACAAAGCGCTGAAAACGGCCAACTCCGAAAAGTGTGTTTTTTTGTGTCCGGCGTCAAATGTGTTGCCTGGGCCTCCAAATTCGCTCGTTTTCCTCCGAAAACCGACTCCAGGCGTTCGCCATGCTCGTCCGTTTTCTGTCCCGAAAAGCCTGCGAATTCCAGCCCGCTGAGCTTGTCACCGCTTGTCACCGCTTTGTCACCGCTTGCTTTTTGGGTGCAAAAGTGCGCAAAAGCCGCTCTTCCAAAGTTCATCGGTCCCCCTTTGAAGTTCATTGTTTTGGCGGTTGAAAATCATCGTCCGCAAGGAATTTCATCGTTTTCGAGCAATGAACTTCATCCCCCCCGGTGACTTTCGACGAGAAGTGCGGAAATTATCGCGATCGTTTCCTTGTTCACCACTCTAGCGCCACTTTTGCAAGACTTGCAAGGTGCTTTCCAACGCTCTGGTGGGGCGAGCTCCCCCGCCAAAGGGCGCGCAGCCGCAGCCAACGACGCGGCTAAGAAGCCGGCAGCGCTGTGAAAAGCATGTTCTGGCGCAGCTCGCCCGTCGAGAGTCCCACCTGCTCGCCTTCTGCAGAGGCTCCAAGCCGGCCGCCCCCGCCCGCCCTGCTGGTTTGAGCTAGCGATCCACGCGCTTGAGTGCTGCTTCCGGCGCGCGGGCTTAGGCGCAGCGGGACGCGGCGGGCTTGGACCAGTGCTCCGCAACGCATGGCAGCTGGCTGTTTTGGCCGGTCTGTTGTAGAACAGAAAAAAGGCGCGTGAACGGCGCTTTTGGCTTGCGGGCCAACACTTGCCCAGCAGGCGGATCAGCCACGCGGGCTTGCTACCAGGACGCAGCGCGGGGGCCACTTTGGGCGATTTTTTGCCTGCGCGAGAGCTGGTGCTGGGGCCACCATGGGCGATTTTTGCCTGCGTGAGGGCTGGTGCTGGGGCCACTATGGGCGATTTTTGCCGGCGCAAGGGCTGGTGCCAGGGCACTATGGGCGATTTTTGCCGGCGCTGGGGCCAGTGTGGGCGATTTTGCCGGCGCGAGGGCTGGTGCAGGGCCACTATGGGCGATTTTTTGCCGGCGCGAGGGCTGGTGCTGGGGCCATGGGCGATTTTTGCCGGCGTTTTCAGCCGGGGATGCTCAAGCGCTCCGCCAGCTCGGCAGTCGCAGCGGCCGCGATCTTCTCACACAGAGCCGGAGGGATGCTATAAAGTTGCTCCCGGCTCTCAAGCGTCCGGTCGATTTGCTCGCGATGGCCTCCCACGATGCGCGGGCCACGCTGTGCGACCTGCCGGTGGCGGCCGTCGACCCAGGCCTCGCAGCGCGAGTCCCGGGCGCACACGGGCTGGCTGGGCTGCCACCGCATATTGGTCCAGAGGCGCGTCTGCTTCTTGTAGGGGAAGCCGTAGGAGCAGTACGTCACGTCGTGGAAGGGGAGACGCTGCATGAAGGGCCGGCTTTTCAGCACCCCCGTCTTGGGGTTTTCCAGGATCCACATGGGCGGATCGAAGTAGGCGATGATCTCGAGCGCGCGGAGCACTAGCCTATCGCCTTTCTCGAAGCGCCGGGGACGGGTCGTCAGCGCTCTGGGATACTCCGTGCACACGGGGCTTGCCCAAACCATGTCGAAGTGCCCCGGTGGGAAGGCAGCGCGGAAGTCCCAACGCAGGATATCGCAGCAGATGCTGGGCTGGAACTTAGCTTCGAGGTCCAAGGAAGTCACATTCCAGCCGGCCTCGCGGAAGGCGCGGCCAATGGAGCCCGTCCCGTTGAACAGCTCCAGCAGCCTCGGCATCGCTTTCCCCAGAGAGCTGGGCGGCCAGCCACATCGCCGCAACGAGGCCCGCGAACAGGCCGGCCAGCTGGCAATTCAGAGCCAGGCAGTCCAGCAGGCCGACGGCCGGCATGATGTTTTTCTGCTCGGACGAGCTTTTTCTTGTGTCGAGGTAGAAAAAGAAGATGGCCAGCAACAAGCCAGCCGAGCCAAAGGCCCGCGAGTCGAGCATGTGGCGTTTGGGCGACGTGCGCTCCAACGCCAAGGGAGGCAAGTTCTTGAGCTTTGGAGATGCCGTGGGAGCCGTCGGCGGGCTCCGAGGGGCAGCGGCCCACGGTCAGCTTCGCGGCCGACGGCCCGACGCGCGAGTACTGGGCGCGGGTTGAGGACGACCTGGTCGAGCGGCTGGCGGCCGTCTCCGAGCGCGTCTTTAACGTCGTGCTCCCGCCCGAGGCGGTTCGAGCGCGGCTGTTGCCGGCCGTGCGGCAGTCCAAGGGCGGCGACTGGTTGCTAAAGGCCAAGCTGCCGGCCGGCGCGCGCTTCTGGGACGCAGCGGGCGCGCCCGCCGAGCGCCCGACCTCGCTGGCCCGCAGCGCCGCGCGCGTTCGGCTGCAGGCCCGCAGCCTGTGGCTGATGAGCGGACAGTGCGGGCTGACTTTGGAGGTCACGGACCTGCGGTTCGAGGAGCCCCGCCGGGAGTGCCCGCTGTGAATCGAGCGGATTTGGCCGGCGCTGTTGTAGGTTGGCGTTGCGGTTGCTGTTTAGGACACGCTTGAGAGTATGTCCCTGGCACTGGAGCAGGGAGCAGTGGCAACCGCAAAAAATGTTTTTTCCCCAGAAAAGTCTTGTTTTCTCACAGAAAATCTCGCGTTTTTTCACGCCGAACTTATTTTAATAATTATGGTTTCGTCGTGGGGGGGGGGGCCGTGACAGGTGCAGGGCTGCGTCAGGCACTGTGACAGGTGCAGGGCAGGCTCCGTCGCAGGAGCAAGGCGCAGTGGCAGGCGCTGGACGCAGACTCCGTCGCAGGAGCTTGGGCGTCTGAGCAGGTGCTGGGGATTGACGCTAACAAAGCTCGGGATGGCGCGGCAGGCTGGGGAGTCGATTTGTTGCCACGGAGAACCAATTGGATTTTCACATGCGGTTGTTCAGGCAAAAAAACGCCACGATTTTTTCATGAACATTCATGCTTATTTTTGTTGCCTTGGCGCTTGAAGATGGCTCAAGGAGGTTGTTGATGCAAGAGCGATGAAGCAGATGCACAGACTCAACTCGCTGATTGTGTTTCACTCCAACCCACTAAAGAGTCTTGAGCGCTTCTGCGGCCGCGAGGTCGAGAAGGCCCGCAAGGAGCTGGAGGAACCCCCACCAACAAGCACATGCTCCCCCACTAAACCCCTAATGAGTGGAACCCTTCACGAACAATCTCTTCATCCACCCTTCCCTGCCAGCTGCCAGCTCCCGCAGGAGCGGTCCGTGTGGCTGACACGGGGATCTCTCTTTGTGCTTCATCTCTCTTTGCCCTCCCACCAGCCACGGTCCTGTTTTCGATTTTATGGCTATGGGTTTTGGCCTGGTCCTGGGGTCTGGGAAGCAGAATGCGGGTTAAATGGTGAAATGGAGTGATCAGCGTTTCTCCGCCGTTGGCTCAAGTTGAGAACAAGAGAACAGTTCAGATGTAAACAATGTTGAAGGCAGTTCCGAAGCATCAGCCATCTGCGCCTCAGGTTTTGAGATGCAGCAGAAAAACATTTGCAATTGCCCAGCACCACCGCCATCACAGCATCATGGCTTGCAAACGCAGCGCCTCAGCTCGCTGCAGGCGCCTTGCGGTCGCTCTGCCTTTCCTCCTGGTCTTCGGCTTCCACGGCGTGACCTTCAACATCCCAAAGCGCGTGCATGAAGTTGCCCAAGACAAGGGCATCAGTGACATTGAATACCTGCAAAGAGTCCGCGCGGCCGCACAGGCTTACAGGAAGAGCGACCAGATTGCTGGACGAGCTGACTTCGTCGAAGCGCTGCAGCAGGCTTGAGCTTCTTGTTTTTGCATATAAAGTAAGCTTGTGTTGCTTGGTGTGAGAATTGGTGACCTTCTCGCAAAACCCTGGTCAGGCTATGCAAACACCGGGCTTGTACCTTGTCATTGGAGGCAAGTCCCTTGGCAAGACTAAGATTGTGAAAAAGCTTGCTCAAGAGGGCATCGCTCACTCCCCGTTGCTCCACGTCAATATGCGCCGCCCACCCCAGCCCGAGTCAACAGATGCTTTGGAATGCCTTCGAGCCAAAGCAAAAGAAGTTTGGAGTGAAGAGAATGTGCCCCCTTGGGTTGCTCGAGCATTTGGCAAGGAGAGCGTGAAGAAGGGTGATGCGGAAGGTGGAGTAGAGCTTGCTTTTTCCGAGTTGCTGAATGTGCCCAAGCCGCAAGAGTTTCTCTGGGCTTTCGTTGAAGCAGCAGTGGCAATGGCCAAGATCCCGACAATGATCATCGACGAAGCCAACATTGCTTTTCCAAATCCGAATGGCAACGGAGACAGCGAATCCAAGAGGGACGCAGCCTTGCGGGCCCTTGCCACCTTTGTGGCAATGACAAAGGAAAGCTGCCAGGCTTCCATCATCTTGACTGCCTCGGATTTCGCTTTCCCATATGGCCTGGAAACACTTGGTTTCAACAAGTACGATGCGCTGAAGACAATCGTGATTCCAGAGGTTGAAAGGGATCCAATGTTGGATTTGCTGACAGAGTGGGGTTTGCCTCGGGATGTGGCGGAGGAGCGTTCTAGGGGTTTCTGGTTGGCGTAGGCTTGCTTGTATGTGCGCATCACAACTTAGTTTTGACACGAACGGTAATACACCCCGCAGACACGCACGACTACAAAAAATAACGCATGTTCGAGGTCGATGCGAGAGTTTGTTTCACTCGCATTGCCAGGAGTTCTACATGATTTTCGGCGGCAACATACTTCTCTGCCAGCAGGCCATCGATAAGCTTCTTGAACAGCTTCAGCTTGGTGCAAAAGACTCCTTCGACCCCTTCAGAGTACGAGGTACGGAGGGGCTGGCTGGTTTGGCCAAAGACCCGCTCACCCGTGAGCACTTGGAGAACCTTGCGCGACAGGGGTGGTCCCCCATTGAGGAAGGCAGCGCGGACAGGGAGACGGAGAGCCAGAAGGGCGCCCGCATCATTGCTAAGAAGAACTTTGGCGGCGTCATCAACAGCGAGACGACCACCTTTTTGGACCAAGGCTTGAAGGATGACATGTTCAGCAACAGAAGCACAACACAGGTGCTCATCCCTGCCACAAGCTACCTGCGCAACTGTATCAAGGTTTACGTTGACGCATGTGAGCCCAGCAGCTTGGAAGCAATGTGCTGAACACGCTTTTTTTGGCTCCATGCGAGGCATTGCACCGACTCAGTCCGTGGTCAAGAGCTGCTGTCAAAGACGAGTGTTTGGTTTCCTTCTCGCATGGTCTCTCTTTCAACTGTTGAACCCCAATTTTGCAAAGCAAGTGGGATTTGCAGCGGTCCTCAAGCGTTGCTTTCTTCTCTTTTGTTTTGTGGACCGCTGCCGGGTAGGTTGCCCTTGAATGGCTGCAGGCAAAGCTGGGCCGATCATGTTTCTTTTCAAGCAAATAATGTCTCAAAGCTCAAAGTAGATTTCCGCTACAATCCATGCGTTGGATCATTCATCCTGACAACGCCCTACTCATCATTTCTTGCCAATTCTTGTACTTGCCCCTTGAATTGTTTTTTTTGCTTGCTAGTTGGATGTATTCAAGCTTGATTTCGGAGCTTATCGGCATCAGACGCTTTTGGTCTTGCATTTGCATGTTGTTCCATGGTTCATGGGGCGCTTGTAAGCAAACATGCTCTTGAATGCAAAGCTGCAAGCAAAGCTGACCGATCATGTTCTTTTCAAACAAACAGTAGATTTCCCCCAAAATCCATGCGCTGGAAGAACGATTGGCGCTGGCAGACTAATGCCCTACACATCATTTGTTGTACTTGGGCCTTGGATGGTATTGTTGCTTTCTAGTTGGATGTATTACAGCTTGATTTCGAAACCTAATCAGTTTCAGGGAGAGTGAAAGCCAACGGGCGCACTTCTCACGTTTGCTTGCTCAGATTGCCGCCTGCAAGGCAGTCCCGTTCCGCAACGAACCCCAGCAGTGTGGGTCTGTCAGCTGGGAAGCCCTGCCTGGACCTTACCAGCAGCTGTGAGCAGTTTTGCCCTGCATTCATGTTCGGAAAAAAGCTGTCGACTTCCTTCTCAGAAGAGCTCTCAAATTGTCGCCTAGCTCCAAAATCAAAGGCGTTTGTGGAGCCATCGGTTAAACGGTTGGATGTGAACTGGATTGCAGTGCTTGTGCCTTGCGAGGATGGCACGGAGCTTGAGACCATTGGCAGCGCGTTCAAAATAACCACAAGTGTTTTAGATGCCCACGCCTCAGCTGCGCCTGCGAAGGACCTATTTCAGCTTTGTTTTGTCTTCGGAAATGCCGCTTCATGCTTCGCGGGGATGTCAGGTGGATGATCTCAAAGAAGCCGTGCGCTCAGAATCGTTTGCTTGACTGCACATGGTACTTTGCAATTTTCCAACTCTTTTCTCTTCTGATTGCTTCAGGGGATAAAGAACAAGGCAGAGCTCTCAATTCCATCGTTCAAGATCGACATTTACAGCCGGAAGGAGAGCTTTGCATGTCGAAGCGCACGCCCAGTCGTTCCATCCCCCACACCTCACCCCATTGCCGTCTCTCGGCTGGACTTTGCAGGACGGCGGCTGGGTGAAAGAAGATGAAGAATCAGAAGTCGACCGTGGCGAATCCAAGCCGAGCACTTGGTTCCGATGCCTTTCAATTTTGGGTTGCGCCGCCGCCCAGCTGTCAGGGCAGACTGCTACGGCTTCATTTTGCCAGCTGCAGCTGCTGGAGCGGCATAGTTTGAGGCACCTCGGCAACCCAGCAGTGTTCCACACTTGTGAACTTGCATCGTTGCCAGGCTACTGCTGGCTGCGGCCACTGTTCTCGGCTGCGGCAATGCTGGCGCACAACGTTTCACCTCGTACAGAGACAAAAGCATGCATTCGCAGGCACAGTTGTTTCGTTGCAGTGCGACTTTGCTTGACTCCTGAAGGGTAAGGGAGGCAACAGTTCACACTTTTGAACACCAGGCAACGGTGTTCAAGTCAAGCGGGGGAATGCCTGCAACGGGTACAGGACCAGCAACAGTTGCCGGCGCTGGTCAACAGCTGTTTCACCGAGGCATTCCTCCCTGTGCCAAAGCGCACGGATGCAGTACCAAGCCCTTTGAAGAAGTGTGGGGGAAAGAATTGCTCTCGTGGCTTGCCAGTTTGATCTTTTTGAGCCAAGTTGCGCACAGGTGTTTGATGCTGTTTGTTGAAGGTGGCGATCAGGGAAGTTGAGCAGCAGTGGAAACTGTCGATTTCCTTCTCAAAACAACTCTTAAATTGTCGCCCACCTCCAAAATCGAAGGTATTTGTGGTGAGCTGGATTGCAGTGCTTGTGCCTTGCGAGGACGGCAAGGACTTAGAGGCCATTGGCAACCCCTTTCACAGCGTCTCGTTGGCAGCCCTGACCCTCTTTTGAGGGGTGGATCTTTGGTTTGTTCCTGCGATTGACGGTTGTGCCTCGTTGGCGCCCCTGACCCACTTGCGAAGGAGCTTGCTCGACCGAGCCGTTCGAGATCAACAATAGAGAAATCCCTCCGCAGCACTTCTTGCGGCCATGGCTGACGCGCTGCTGGAATACCGCAAGCAGCTGGAGCCCCTGCGCGAGGCCCTCCGCGAGGCCGATTCTCTCGGGCGGGCCGCTCCTTTGGAGGACGCGGAGCGCCTGCGCCGGCGGCTGCAGCGGGGATCTTCGACCCTGGACCGGCTCATCGAGGACGGGCAGGCTGGGAAGGTCCCCCTGGAGGAGTCCGACCTCGAAGAGGCCAAGAAGTTGCGGAGCGAGGTCAAATCTCACAGGACCAAGCTCCGCAACCGCATCAACAAGCGCAAGCAGCTCGGCGCAGCCGGAACTGCTGCCGCAGCCGAGGCTTCGGATGAGGGCTCCGTCGCCGAGCCTGCTGCTGCTGTGGCAGCGCCCGCCGCTGCCGCCCCCGAGGTTCCTTTGGTTGACACGGCTGCCCCAGATGCTGCTGCCCCTACTGGCGCGGGCGGCCCTCCCGAGGTGCCTTCGATTGATGTTGCTGCCCCCACTGGCGCGGGCGGCCCTCCCGAGGTGCCTTCGGTTGATGTGGCTGCCCCCGCAGGCGTGGCCGATGCGGTGGCCTTCTGCGAGCGCCTGGTCCGCCGGCGCAAGCGCCTCGAGGCTTCCGAGTGCGAGGAGGCCTTGAGCCAGCTCACCGAGCTCGACCTGACCGACCTCGACCCCAAGGAGGACCCCGCGCTCTCGGCCCTCCGCCTGGTCCCCAACTTCCGGGGCAGGCTCACGCGGCCCCGCAAGGCGACTCTGCAGGCGGCCGCGCCGCAAGCATCCGCGGAGCCGACCTTGGGGCTGACCTTGGAGGCGCTTCGCAAGAAGCACGCGGCCCTGCTGAAGCGCCGCCAGCGAGCGAAGGACCCCTCGCAGCTGGCGCAGGTTCTTCAGGAGCTCCAGGAGGTCGAGGGGCTGCTCGTTGGCAAGAAGATCGCCGAGCGGCTGCCGGTCATGGAGGCGGCCAAGAGCACCACTGCCGCGGCCGCAGATCGAGTCGAGAAGGCCCGCAGGGAGCTGGAGGAGGCCTCCAGGGAGCTCACCGCCTCGCTGGCCACGCAGGGAGACACCGTTGAGGCCCTGCTGCGCTAGTATTACGTTTCACCTAGCTCTGAAGCCAGCCACAAACCTTGGACAGATGCTAAAAGACTCGCGTTTGCAGCCTTGTTGGACGTCCGACCACATGCGTTTGGTTTGACCGGCTTTGTTAAGAAAATATTCTAGGATCTCTGGCTCACAGCAATTCGTGCTCGCGACGCCATGTTGGCTGCCGATCGCTTGGAGGGGCTGATGGGCCGCATGTGGCTGCAGGCGTTCCGCCCCGTGCCTCTGGAGGAGCCCCGCGCCCCTCGAGCCGAGGCGGACGTGGCGGTGCTGCGCCCGCGCGGCTCAGCTTGGACCCGCGAGCTGCGGCTGCGCCCGCTGCCGGGCCAGGACGTGTTCACCGTGGACGCGATGCGGCTGCTGGTGGACCGGCTTCAGGACATGCTGGCTGTGCCGCTGCCCTTCCTCGCCAAGGTCAGCTTCCAGCTGCTGCTGTCCCGCCCGGCGCAGGATCCCTTCGAGGATGGCCGGCAGCGGGGCCTGGAGTTCCAGCACTACTTCCTGAAGCTGGCCCCGTGGATCGTGAGGCCCGCTGCGTCGCCGGCCGCGCGCGCAGGTGCCACGATGGCGGCCATCCGGTCGAAGCGGTGGCGCTCGAGCACTCTCGCTTCCCAGAGTCTAATTGGCGCCTCGTGGGCATCTCTGCCGCGTACCTGCTGACGGCGCCCACGCAGCAGCTGGGGGAGATCCCGGCGCCCCCGCCGCCGAACAAGGCGGGCGGCTGCTGGAAGGAGCTGCCCGAGAGCTTGGCCAAGAAGAAGGCCGTCTGGAACCCCCGGAACGCGGACCACCGCTGCTTTATGTGGTGCGTCCTCGCCCACTGCCTCGGCGTGGACAAGCTCACCAAGCTTGAGCGGTCAAGGGCCGCGACCTGCTCGGGCTCCTTCTTCTACCCCGAGCAGGCCCGCCGCCCCGGGCGCCGCCCTGCCGGCAGGCAGCCCGCTCTGGCCGATGCGGGGCTGGACTTCTCCGGCTTGCCTACCGACCGCCCAGTGGGCTTTGAGGACATCGACGCCTTCGAGCGTCGGAACGCCGGCCGGGTGGAGGTCTTCGTCTTCGCGTGGCAGCGCACCCAGTGGCAGGACGGGCAGGAGTACTTCCACATCCTGCAGCAGCGGGCCCCGGCCAACCAGGGCTCCGCCAAGCACACGGCGCTGCTGCTGCTGCACCAGGGCCACTTCGCGCTGATCCACAACTTCCAGGCGCTGGCCAGCAGGCAGGGGGTGGCCTTGGGCGCCACGCCGAGCAACAGCGGCGGCTGCAAGGAGTACAAGTGCCCGAAGTGCATGGCGCGCTTCACGAAGAAGGCCTCTTGGCAGCGCCACCGCAGCAGCCGGTGCTACCGAGAGGTGGCCAAGCGCGCCCGGAAGGTGCCGCTGCCAGATCCGGAGAAGCGCCAGCACCTGCTGCGGTACAAGCCCAAGGCCTCGGCCGAGCTCTCCCCTCTGGTGTGCTAGCACGCCCGCCCCGTCGGTGCACGTCGCCCAGGCGCAGCCTGCCCGCCAGACCACCGTGGCGTCCTCCTGCTACGTGGCGGTCGGGCGCTGCGGCT